AGGATGTTTTCTTATATTGAATATCACATTTGAACTTTCATTAGTATATTTAGTTATTTAATAGTTATTAAAATTACATATTTATTTCAATTGCCCATTAGTGACAGATAAGCAATTTGAACTTCGTTGTTGCAATTAAAGTATTGTTTTTCTAAAATTTTAGTTCGTAGTTCTAATATTACTCCCTGTGGGATCGATATCTAGGACTCCATTAGAGCCCTATATTACTTGAGCGATACGTATACTTGCGTTGATAAGTGTGACTTTACAATTATTGAATATTTATTACGTCCATATTTATCGAATCTATAACTGTTATTAAGTTTTGGTGCAGTTGCTGAGGGATTAAATCTTTTAGCAGCAGTATTAAATACTTATATTTTTAAGCATATATAAAGTCGCGGTCAACTCTCTGGTATAATGCCTAGTTAGCATTGACTCTTGGATAGTAGATTTAGGTGTCTCTTTTCATGCATGCCCTCGAAAAAGAGGTATTCAAAGTTTACACTAAGAGTTGTCTAAGGAAGGTTTATTGAGGAAACAACAACGCCTACAATCTTAAGAAATAGTGCTGTGGATAACAAGTTGCAAATTGGAATAGTTTAGAATCTTACTGAAGTTAGACATTATCAAAATTTGAAGAAAAATCTCATCTCTAAGAGTCAGCTGGCAAAGTCACGGTTTGTGACTACTTTCATAGGTGATTCGTGAAAATTGAACGACGGCTGATGGATCGAGGCAACATTGAAAGAACTCTTTACTTGCTCAATGAAATGATTGATCTCATTGATATAGCTGGAAGCATAGTCGATGCATGTCTGTGACACTTTGGACTTGGTCATATAAGTGAGAAATGTATGGAATCCCTATATTCACAGAACAAACTTCAAGGTTTAGATCTGAATTTCTGTGAAGATTGTATATATGACAAGCAAAAAAAAGTTTCATTGTCTAAAAATGAGTCAGTGATGAAATAAAAAAGACTAAAGTTAGTGCATATTGATGTATAGGATACTACTCCAATTCAGTTCATTAAAGGATCCCACTACTTTGTCATGTTTATTGACGATTACATGAGAAATGTATGAGTTTACTGTTAAAGCAAAAATCTGACAATTTTGAGGAGTTTAATAAATAAAGGCTATGGCAGAAAATGAAATAAGTTTGAAGCTGAAGTGTCTCAAATTAGATAATGAAGATGACTACCATGATCAAAGCGCAAGAATTTATGTGCTACAGAGGGATGTGACTCGGCGCATGAATAGAACAATCACGGAGCATTCCAAGGATACGAGGTTGTTTGCAGGCTTCCCAAAATAGTTTTAGATTAAAGGAATAAATAATATTATTTATCTGATTAACCATGATCCATCAGTACCTTTGGAGAAAGGCTTGCCTAAAAAAGTCTAGACCGAAAATGAGGTAGATCTATCTCATTTAAATATACTTGGGGGTTATGCATATACGCATGTGATGTAGGGTCTAAAAATAAGCTTAACTCGAAATCTATCAAGTGCACCATCATTGGGTATGGCTCATATGAGTTTAGGTGAAACTTCTGGGATTATTTGAATTAGAAATTCATCAGGAGAAGATACACAGTTGAGAATCTTGCGAACATGTTGATGAAGGTGGGGACTATCGAGAAACTGTAGTGATGCTTTACTTCAGTCGGTGTCCATGAAGGTTGAGACTGGGGGTGAGTCACGTTACGGTGTGTGAATATAAAAATGGTACATATGAAGGTGCAGATCTGGTGATAGGTGTTGTATGCTTTCGGTTTATAAGTGAGAGATTATTGAGGTGTGGAGCTTGGAAGAGCACTCACAACTGCAAGGAAGTCGAGCAAACAGTAGAGGTATTTCTAGAGCAGCGCATCTGCGCCTAGAAAATAAGTCTGCGCTTACAAATAGAGGCGCGGCATGCTCACAACGAGGTATACAGTGCTCTCGAATCGTCTATTTGAAGCTTATGTGTCAGGTTATAGGAGACGCGGCATTCTTGCACCAGGTGTAGTAGTTACTCTCCTGTTTCAATTTAAATCCTCCATTTGAGCGATGAAGGAAGACACTCTCATATGTGGTTCTTTAGACAATGGTTCTCATGAAGAAAAGAAGTGTCAGAGATGAGGATTTCAAGATTATTTCCTCTTCTGAGATCGAGAGAAAGGGGTTGGAGGAAGTTTTGTAAGTTCGGTCAATGATGAAGAGGAGGTCTGAGTGAGTATTTTATAAATTTTTAAATTTTATAGTGAAAATTTCTTAGCGGTATGGCTCCATATTTTTTTCCCATTATGGGGTTTTTCCATGTTAAATTCTAGTGTGTTTTTCTGGATTGTTCTTTATCATGCTTCCGTTCGGATATTTTGTTCTTGTTTTCTCGAATCTATGTGATCCTATTCCTCAATGTGATTTTAATTTCTAGTGGAATCAAAGCCCTAGTAGAAGTATAAGATTTTCATCCCAATAGAGGTCTACCCCAATCGAAATAATTAACTATGTGTTTGTAAGTACAAGATGTGTCCTTCTCCCACAACAAAAAGAACAACATTACAATCTTACAATTAAAATTACACTTGTTTTTATACAGCACAAAGTAAATGTGTGTTAGACACAACAATCATATTTGAACTACAATGGTTGCTGGTGGTCGCGAATTGCTGGCGGTGGTCTACAGTGGTCGATGTTTACTCACTTGGTTTTCAATACAGGTGTTAGACACAACAACTGTATTTGGACTAAAACGGTTGCAAGTAGGGGTAGCCAGCGATAGCAAGCGTTGATGGACAATTGTTATCGACGATGGCCGATGGGTGGTAGTCGATGCATACAAAAACAGAGATTATCACCAGTATCTTCTTTCCACAACAGGCTTTGAAATTCTTCTTCTTCTTTCTCAGGGACCCATTTTAGCCTTTTGGGGAGGGGCATCTTGGTCTTTTGGCGCATAAATTTCATAACCATCCAATCAAAAAGTCCATTTCCATTCCACCTTGATCATAAGTAATATTTTTCAGAATCTGGATGCTTTATTGACCTTAGAATTTAGAAATCCTAGGCTCGTTGGATTTCTCTTATCGAGACGCTCCATTTAACTATAAATATATTGTATTTGGAGTTCATTTGAACAATCAATTAACAATTCAAAGCCTCCAAATATACTTTAATGGCTTGATCTGAGCTTGATTGGACCCTCGTTGAAACAATTTTGGTGTCATTGTGTTCGTCTTGTTGAGACGGTCAATTTGACTATAAACTAGCTGAGATCAGAGCTTGGAAGATCATCAATTTGAGTTTGGAAGATTTCTTACTAAAAATGCATCAAAACACATGCTTGATGACAAAAATTTCTTGACGACACATCAATAATGATGAGATCATAAATAAAGCTTCCAACTTTCTATTTCCAGATATTGGGTTAAAGTATTCATCTATTTTATACATCACATACAAAAAATAGAAGAAAATACCACTTTTGAAGTACATATCTAAGTTAAATATTTTGGGATCGCAAGAATGAATTATTTGATAACTTTCAATCTGAGTAAAGAAATCATGCTCGTTTTATGACATCAATAACATATAATATTATAAATTTGAGGCACTTGGCATTTCGTGCTTCAAGGCTGATAAAAATAGAACCAACTATTCCTCCCTAAAACTAATGCCCCTACTCTTGCTACTGACTCTAGTTTTAGTGCATGATTTCAGTAAGTTTATTTATTATGTATGTAGTACCGAGACAACATGGCTAAGAAAGCTAGGCCTGTGATGAACATGCAAGGATCTTTATTTTCTTTTATATTTTTATATGAAATAAAAATACATTCGATATCTTAAATATAGTTTTTATTGAATATTGAAAATTTTAATCTATTGTAGTTTAGAAGAGAGCGGTGGTGCAGCGGCAGTGCTTTTAGAAAAAACGAAGACAGAATCAGCCTCAGTGCAGGGTTTACCTGCAGTGGGCAGTAGGGAGGCTTGGTGGTAAACAGTAACTCGATAGCAAGTATGCCAGTTATATTATCTAATAGTTTTCTCCCAATATAATCTTCTACACAAAGCTATACAGAAAAAGAATAAAAAGTTGACGGTATAATAAGGTTCACTGGCACAAAAAAAAATGATAATTTGTAAAGAAAACAATACTCATCCAGTTCATAAAAAATCACCTACTGACCTGTGAATCTAAAGGATTAGATTCCCGGGACACAATGTTCTGCAAGCTGATTATGGCAGCTGAGGCAGCTAAAATAGCCTCTACTGCATTCTGTAGATTTCCTTCTTGATCTGGCCTTCCCTCTATCACTGCTTTGAAGAAGCCACATCCAGCAAGTAAAGGACCAGCCTTCGATCCAATGACTGAAGTGGGATGCTCATGAGATACATGAACGGCAAATATAGCCCCCACATCTCTGAGGGCGCCATCTTCAATCATTTTCTTTGCACCTATACCTGCTTCCTCTGCGGGCTGAAAGAGCAACTTAACAGTTCCCTACAACAGAGATGATGTGGAGAAAAGGGCTGAGATGTAAGAATAATAGTGCAAAAATGCTAAATGTAGTATATGTTTCTGCTAACTACTATCACAAAGACAAAATTCATAAAAAAAATTTAGTTTGAGAGCAGGTCAAGCTCCCTGAATGAAGTAACACTTAGGAGAAATGATAACTTGTTTTTTTTAATGACATTAGCATGCTGCCATTTTAATCAAGGGGCATTTACATACATATCACACAATTTTTATGCATTTACATAGCTAACACTTAAACTTTGCCTTTACATTTATACCAACCAAGCATTTTCTATCACATAAAACATACCACCATTTTAACTTTAAACAGTGAAAGACACCATTTAATGCATGGGTAAGGTGACATGGAAAAATTGAAGTTTAGGTGTAAGTGTTGGGAAATGTAAATCACGAAAGACTATTCAAAATATCCATAAAAAATCTTCAAACAGAAGCACACAAATCAAGAAAACACAAAAAACACCATATTTAACATGGAACAACCTCAAAACAGGAAAAAAAATATAGAGTCACACCACAACAAAAAATCTAATATGAAGAAAATAATGAGAATCGTACAAATTACACGACACTTAAGCCTCTCAACACTTTGAAAACTCCACGACACTCATCTCCTCTCATTTGCACAAGAGAAAATCAAAATCCTTCATTTTTCTTTAAGCAGAACCGAACTTTCAAGTGCAAAATTGCCCAAGGTCAATCATTGGCGCCAGGGCTCCACAATAATGGCGTCATGATGCTCTAAAGGGGCACTAAAGTGCCGTGTTCTCAGGTTCTGAACCTGAATTGGGCACGGCGGCACTGTTGTCTCAGCATTAGAGTGTTGCAGGTATGGCACCAAGGAGCTATGTACGAGGGGAAAAAAATTTCAGGGGCAGTGCCATCGAACCCAATACATGGAAGCACTGGCCCACTAATCCCCCCGACAAACTCACTGTCTGGCTTGATCAACGAAATTGAGAGCTCTGAGTGAATAATTTATTAACACAATCAAGCTCTACATAATAGCAATTAGATATGTAAATACATAGGAATTGAGTGGTATGTATGTAAATCTTCCTTTAAATAATTATGATATCACTACATTGGCAGGATCCTCAACAAATGGGAATGATGTTTATGCTGTCCTCATTTTATGAGCCAATACTTTTATGGAACATGTAATTGGAAAAAAGCATTCAAATTTGCATTATATCAGCATTCTAGAAATCCACAAATATTCTCATTGTCATTCAAATTTAAGGGAGGATTAATCAGAGAGCACCTCTGCAGAATTGAGTTTCATATTTAAGTACAGGTACCATTCATAGCTCAAAGTAAATGAGCTAGTTAAAAACCCAAATTATAAGTGTCTTATATTTTGCATTAAGTAATATCTGTTAGGTATGGCTCATATACCGGAAGTTGGAGTTTCTTGAAGTGAAGAGGTGTGTCTCTTGGCGAAGAGGTGCGTCTCTTGGCGAAGAGGTGCGTCTCTTCATATTTTGTGAGTTGGGGGGGGAGCGAGGGCAAGTTGGTAATTTATCTATGAATTTTTTATATGTCTATATATATGTGTAACTCTTAGGTATGTAACTGAACTCCCCCTCTGAAATAGTGAATTCGCCGCTCGCTCCCGAGGATGTAGGCATCTTTGCCGAACCTCGTTAAATCTCCGCGTTCTTCTGGATTTGTGTCGATTCCTGTGATTGTTTCGCCCTAAATTTCATAACAATTGGTATCAGAGCGAGGTTCTAGGGCGGAGGAGATTGGCACAGAAAGAAGGAAGAGAAAGAGGATCGTGACGAATTGGAACAGAGGAGATCATGGTTCGCGGGAAGAAGATCGTCTGCGGGTGAAGCTCTGGACGAAACGCGAAGCGAAGCAAGTCGCAAGTGCAGTTCGCGAGGGAGCAGAAGTGTTCAGCGGTGCGCTATAGGCAGAGCAGACCCGATAGTTTTCGCCCGAGGATTCTGATTAGCGATCCTCAGACGAGTTCGGGACGAGCGAACGAGGCGAAGTGGACGTACGAACAAGCGAATCGATAGTTCGCGGAAGATAGGGATCGCGACAGGAAGGATCGTCATAGGAGTTCGGCGAAGTTCTGCCCAGGCGGGATTCGCGACGCGGAACAAGCTTCTTTCAGGAGTGCAGAGAGTTCCGCGAGTTTTGTGGAGGGAGTGCGGAGGATTTTTGGGAGGAAGAATAAAGGAATCTTTTATTTCCACTAGAAGAGTATTCCTTTAAATTCTGCTGGGAGGAAGAATAAAAGAATCTTTCATTCCTATTAGAGGAATATTCTTTGGTATATTCCCTGAAATTTCTGCTGGAAGGAATGGAGGGTGGATTTTCCCTTGGCTGGAGGTTAATTCCTGAAAGTTGTTAGAGGCAAGGAAGGAAAGGAATATTTCATCTCTACTAGAGGAGTCTGTGCTGTTGCTGAAGGCTGAAGGAAGGATCTCGGAAATAAATTATTTTGCGGGAGTGATGCGTGAGAACACTGCAGCGAGGAGCGGAGACAATTTCACAGAGGAGAAAAGTTCAGTGGCAAGCATGAGCAACACACAAATTTTGTGGATTGTTCACAAGGCAGACGGGCTCGCGGGAACGAACAGGTGCGAAGCAGTTCGGATGAAAGGCTGCGGCGGTTCGGCGAGTTCTGCTTCGGGGAGTTTGCGATAAAGGCGGTGTCGAGGCTTCAAGGCACGACAGTTCACGAACCTTCGCGGTGTTCAGCGAGGTGGAGTTCGTGAACAGGAGTTCGCGTGCAGTTACCGCGAACAGGAGCGTTTGTGAACAAAGGTGCTCGGCCAGAGGTGTTCGCAAATTTGTTGCACAAGGAGTTGCAGCAGGTGGTGCTCGACGAGCGGAGTTCGCAAGTTTGTCGCAAGAGTTGCGGCAGATGCAGTTGCGACAGGTAGTGCTCGGCCAGCGGAGTTCGCATGTTTGTTGCAGGAGTTGCGGCAGGTGCAGTTGCGACAGATGTTCGTAAGTTTGTCGCAGGAGGTTTTGCAGTAAGTGCAGTTGCGACAGGTAGTGCTCGGCCAGCGGAGTTCGCAGGCATGTCGTAGAAGAAATTGCGACACGTGGAGTTCGCGAATTTCACGGATTGTTCATAGGTTTGTCGAAGGAGAAATTGTGACAAGTGGAGTTCGGCTGGTGTCCGCGGTATTTCAGCCGAATTTTTGTGCGAACATGAAAGATACTTCGTGTGAAAAATTTGATTCACGAATCACTGAAAACTGCGGGAAATTGCTGCAAATTGACAGAAAAAATTTCAGGTTATTTGAATTTATTTGTGGTGTGTGTTTTGCTTCATACAAGGCAGGTAAAATTTGCTGCAGCATTAAATTTGAATGGCAATGACTGGTGCAAAATTCGAGATAGTGAAGTTTGGCGGAACAGGGAACTTCAGATTGTTGCAAACAAAGGTGAAAGCTTATTAGCACAGAAATTTTTTGAAAGCATTGCGGGTTACGAAATCTGATGGTAATATCTATCAACTGTTGAGGAGTACACTTGTAGGTGGAGTGCCTACTGTCGAATTATATGATGAAAATGCAGCAGGTATGTTGACAAAGCCAGATATTTTTAACAAGTTCTTGGGTGACTTGAACTTGTTGAATGTTTGTAATTGCTAGTTGACATGATTGGTCAACCCACTACGGTGTAAGAAACTCCATGAAGTATTTCTCCTAAGGGGCTGAATATTCGCCAAGGTGGAGAATTGTTAGGTATGTCTCATATATCGGATATTGGGGTTTCTTGAAGTGAAGAGGTGTGTCTCTTGGTGAAGAGTTGTATCTCTTCATATTTTGTGGGTTGGAGGGGAGCGAGGGCGAGTCGGTAATTTATCTATAGGTTTTTTATATGTCTATATTTATGTGTAACTCTTGGGTATATAACTGAACTCCCCCTCTGAAATAGTGAATTCGTCGCTCGCTCCCGAGGATGTAGGCATCTTTGTCGAACCTCGTTAAATCTCTGCATTCTTCTTCTGGATTTGTGTCGATTCTTGTGATTGTTTCGCCCTAAATTTCATAACAATATCATTATCATAAAAATTTATAAGAGAAATCAACAGAATTGCAGAACTGAATAACAATTTCAAGGTATTAGAAGTATCATGCACACCCAAAGCAATTAAACTAGTCCAAAATTGAATTCTAAAATGGAAAGCTTCTGATGAAGTAAGGCAAAAAAGCTTAACAGAACATAAAATAGTAAACATATGAAACAGAGGAATTCATGAAGACATAAAGATCAAACAAAAATCCAAAACGTTTACAGTTCTTCAATCACTATCACCCAAAAGAAAACAGAAAAACAGGTTTACAAATAGAAAAAAAATAAAAAGTATACAAAAGAAAAAAAAGCACCAAGGACCACTAGCATGGAAAGAACTTTATCCCAAGTTAACTGAGATTGGTTTGTGAGATCTTTTCGGCCATTCAATCCTTAAAAAAAAAATCTAAACAACATTCGTGCTCATAACACATTTAAGAAAATAGACTACCTTGAGATGATGTTCACGAGCCTTTAAAATCTTTGCAGCACCAATAAGCATTGCCACATGTGCATCATGCCCACAAGCATGCATTTTACCAGGCACCTTGCTCTTGTGCTCCCACTCTACAGCTTCCTAAGAAGGCAATAAAAAATACTTCTATAGAAGAATAGCTAATAATTATAAACGAAAAAGCAATTCAAACAACCTACATTAATCCATAAGCATGAGCACATTACAAAACATAATTGTTAATGTTTAAATGTACGGAAAAAGTAGAGGTCCCCATACTGCATAAATGAAATAAAACATATAATTCATGTAATGGGAGAATGATTCCCCGTAACTTTTTTTTTTTTTTGGGAAATATAGTCATATATACAATGGAGCTCATGATAAAGCGACCTATGTAGCCTTACAGATATGCTTCCATCTAGAAGGGATTAAATAAAATAAAATAATACCCTTCATCCATTATTAGAGATGAATCTCTCTCTCCAAGCCACTCAACTCATGAATCTAATGGATTCGTCCTTCTGATGAATCTGCTTGAACTTTTACTTGGATCCTATCACTAGAAGTTATCCCTATCCTTTGGATATGGTTTAACAATGTTGAACATATCACAATGCACTGTACCAAGCCACAATAATGATTACTGGTCATTTGCTCCCACCACTGCCTGATGCTCTACCACATTACTTGCATATACATCCAACACATCTTAGTGTAGCACCAAACCGCATGCCAACCATCGAAGTTTGGTCGGATGGTCAATTCCTATTGTCGTCTGTATAATCATGAGGCCACTAGTAATCCTATAATACCCAGTTTTGGCAAAATCAGTAAAATTTTGGCTAATATATTCCCAAATTTTTGCATTCCCCAAAATCCAACCAAATCAATTTTAAAAATTCTACATGTTGAACAGATATATGTGATATATAACACAATCTATAGATTATGGATGCATTTAGAATTATTAACTTAATTAAATTAATTAAGCATTTAATTAATAACCGAATATTGCGTCACTGTAGCGGGCCCACCTTCTTCCGCATTTTTCTCGACCTGCAACGAACCTGAGGTGATCAAATGGCTGGGATTAATTGGATCTAAGTTAAAATGTCGCACTCTCTTCCATTTCCCTATCCCAAATCTCCTTCTTCAGTAAGACTGTCCATTCAGTCCTGTAGCAGGGGCGATCCAGGCATGACGACAGTGAGCTGCAGCTCAAGGTTCGGGGCTCTGAGAAGAGAACAGAACGTAGAATCCTCACTTTCGTAACATTTAGAACACTTATTTCCTTCCATACAATTTTTTTCTGCAATTTGCCATGAGCTGATGTATAGCGAGAGGCGGAATAGCGTAGGAAGCTGCGACCTTCAATTCTTCACTCTCGATAAGGAAAAACTATTACATCAGTACTACGCACGTAGAAGTAACATGCGTAGCCAATGAAATCACGCCACGACACCTCACGTTACAGAAAAAAAAACGACGCAGTAATACAGGGAATATTCCCCCCTGTGTTATTCATGTGTTATTGCGTGTTATTCATGTGTTATTGATATGTTATTGTGTTATTATAACACCAAGAATATTCTCATGACACAATAACACATGAATAACACACAATAACACATAAATAACACGGGGAAGAATATTGCCCCGTGTTATTACGCCGTTTTTTTTCTGTCGGGAATATTCCCCGTGTTATTCATGTGTTATTGTGTGTTATTCATGTGTTATTGTGTTATTGTGTTATTACAACACCAAGAATATTCTCAGGATACAATAACACATGAATAACACACAATAACACTTGAATAACACAGGAAATATTCCCGTGTTCCTGTGCCGTTTTTTTCTCGGTCGCGCAGGGTGTCGTGGCATGATTTCATTGGCTACGCACGTTACTCTACGTGCGTAGTACTGATGTAATATTTTTTCCTCGATAAGGCTGTTAACGGGAATAGGGAAGACATTAGGAAGGGAAGGAAAAAGAGGAGGAAGAAATTAATAGAAAAGACCTTAAGGAGAATTTATGCAAGGAAGCCCTTTGAGGTAAAGGGTTTGGCAAGTTATGGTTTGGACTAAATTAAGAATTAAGCTATGAATTTCATGCATATTTTCAAGAAATTATGATTTCATGTAGTTTACATTAGGCGGCAAGCTTGAGAAAATTCGCTGTAAGACAGCTCCATTGATTCAACTGAAATACCCGTGTTAAATTAGAAATAATAATTTTATGTATGATTTTTATATGATTTCTTTTGACGTATGATTTCACTTAAAAAATGTTGTATATTACTAAATATTTGCACATGTTACATGAATGCAAACTTGAACTGATACTGACAACATTTATGATTTCAATATTTTATTGATCTAGTAAGCATATTTATAAAATCTTTGCTTACATGTATTTATATATTGTTGTTTATGTATATGAGATATGATTTGTCAATAATGAATATTTGTTACATAACTTGAGTTTAAAGAAATGTTGCAAGAGTTGTGATATATAGACTATTAAATGATTTCTTACAAGTATGAATGATGAGATTCCCGACTCCTAATAATTAGGCAAGAATGTAACATGGGAACTTGATAAGGGTCAATTTTACATTACTTTACTCGCTTTTATTCTTGTATTTTTATTTGTTATTTGCCTTATCTATCATGGATTTACACTTATGAAAGATTTGTTGTTGTTGTGCAGGTAACAGGAGAACATACACACATTTCAGAGTGAGAAAAACTAAGAAAAAATTTGTCAAACTATCAATCAAGAATAACTGAAATCGGGCAGGATTAAGTTTTTTCTTATTTAAAATTACCGAATTAAATTTTGTAACTTAATTGTACATATTTTTCTTTATAATTGAATTTTCAGATTAGGAGTATGTATTAATGTATTCTTAGACTACCTAAAAGAGATTATATAGACCATTATTTATTGGAATGAAAGCAAAGGAAAAGGCATTCATCTATTTACTCAAAGCATTGATACGGTATCAGAGCCACGTCGAATCGTTCTGATTTGAATCTTTCTTCATCTTCGCTAGCCGTTGGGAATCGTTCGTCTTCATCTTCGATTCGAGCTCATTCCATCTTCGTCGGCATCTTCGACTGCTTACTTACATCTTCAGCGTCTTCACCTGCAAATGAACGAGAGTCTCGTCTGTGATCCAATCTTCCTCCCAATCACGTCCACGCACGATTCTACCCTGTGCTCATTGCCTCAAGTCCCATTCCCAAGTATAAAAAGAGTTATTCATTTGGCCTCAGACGTTGGAGTGGTGTCGGTGAAACTAAGGACTCTTTCAACTTCATGAATGCTTGCTCGCATTCGACCAATCATTCCAAGTTCATCACCTTCCCAAGTGTTTTGAAAAATGTTGCACATTTGTTGCCCAAATCCAAAATGTACCGGCATAGGCTCAATATCTGACCATTTAACATTTTGACTTTTGTGTTTCAGGGAGATGACATGTTCAGCAATGTATATACTTTCTCTGGGTTAGCTTTTATCTCCTTAAGGATAAAGAGATAACCGAGAAACTTACCTGTGGATTCTCCGAAGGTACACTATAGTGGATTTAGTCTCACCATAAATTTTTGGAGGGTTTTGAATGGTTCTTTTAAATATTTCATGTGTTGTTCGGCCGATTGATTTTTAACCATCATAACATTCACATACACTTCAACATTTTTTTTTCTTCTTTACTTAGAGGAAATTACATTCATAAGGTGTTGGTAGGCAGCCCCAGTCTTTTAAGCTAGAAAGGCGTTACATTATAACAGTACACACTCACACTAGTGATAAAAGTTGTCCTCTCTGCTTCAGCTAAGTGCATCTTTGTTTAGTGGTAAGTAGAGAACGCATCCAAGAAGCTCATCACAGTGGCCGACAGTTGATTCCACTAACGCATCAATCTTTAGCATTGGATAGCAGTCTATCAGGTAGAAGGTATTCAAAATGGTTAAGTCCACACACATTCTTCATGTTTCATTCGCCTTCTGTACCATGACCACATTGAACACTATGTCATGCATTGCACCTCTCGGATGTAACCGACCTCCTTCAGCTTCTGAACCACCTCCCAAATTGGTCTCTCTAAAGTCATCATCGAGGATCTGATCTACTTCATCAGTCGGTCAACTTGCATCTCTGTTGTCAACCAAGCAAAGATGACTTGATGCTCCTTGAAGGTTTGGAACAGCGCGTCTTTCATCCCTGCCTTACAACTTTCGCTTATCAAAAAAATTTTACTGATCTACCCATGGGTCACTAGTACTTCGAAGGTGGTCTCGTTGGTCTCAAGACCCCCTTCACATCTATTCTGGAGATTGGGTAGCTTCTGCTTCATTAACTCACTGCCGCCAGGAAATTTCACTGCAACATTGTATGAAGCAACCACGACCGTGTAATCATTCAGCAAAGGGCGACCAAAAAAAGCGTTGTAATTTGGCAGTGAGTGTACGTTCCATTAGAATATCTTCCATGTAGTGCTTTTCGGGTTCACACCAAGAGACTGACAGTGCAATTACTCATTGCGCCTCCTTTCTCATGCCAGAGAAACTGTGAAGTGAGTCGGCTGGTACCACCCACTAGTTGGCTTGAAGGTTCATTTTATCAAAAATTGATTTGAATAAGATATCCACAGAGCTGTCAGCATCAACCGGAATGCTACCCAGCTGGTAATTGTGAATCGTTGTCATTACTGTAAGGGTTCCCTCTCAGAAGTAGGTATGTATCAGTGAACACAATTTGTGTATGGGTGCTGCGCTTTGGAGCGAAGCGGTTGCGCTTTAAACCAAAAGCGGATGCGATTTAGAGCAAAAGTGGCTGCGCAAAATTCTCATGATCGAAGCCTCTTCTAACTAGCTCGTTGGGAGGATTCTCTAACTCCCCCAAACATGGTTGGCATTATTTCAGCAATATAGATGCGTTCGTCCAAACTAGCTCAACCAAGATATCCTCTACTGTAGCCTTCCCAAGCATTTGGGTCGCAACTCCAGGCATAACGAACTCCTTGAGCTTTCTAGCTCTTATTAACTCCTCGACCAAGCTTCGAAGGTGCTGCATTTCTCCGTATCATGGTCATGGTCTCTGTGATAAGCACAGTATTTCTTCGTGTCCCGGAGAAAAGCTCTGGCTCTTATTGGCGTCGCCTGCTTGAAAATTCTTAATTTTGGATGGCCTTTACTAACTCCACCATGGTGACTCTCTGCGGAGTGGCCTTCGGAGCTTCATCTTCATTCAACGATCACTCATGGTAAGAAGCTGATCGTTGGTTAGGGTACCTCGACTGACTTCCTCTGTTGTTATAGCTATCGCCCCCCCTATTTTCTTGAAGCGGACAGTTTCCTTCATACATCGACCGAGTGGAAGGATCTAATTCTTCCCTCGGTCTCCATCTGTTGTCTCTAAGGGCCCTCCTCTTCAGACGAACAGTGGCTACTTTTGTCCTGGCTGACGCATAGGTGGAGCTGTACTCTTCATTCGAAATATAATTGTTGGTCAGCTCCAACAATTTGGCTAGGGTATTAGGTTGCTGAAGACCCAGAGCATAGTTGAATGGTCCCTCCTTCAGTATGTGAGCTAGAGTGGCATGTGCTACAGCGGGTTCCAGATCCTGCAGTTCCAGCTTCTCTTTCTGGAATTTGTTTTGCCCTCGTCTGATCTGCAGCAGGGTCTGCGAACTCTTCTGTCGCTTCTGGGCACTGATGAATTTTACCACAAACATCCTATTGAAATCGCATAACTGATTACTTCGATCGACAATCCATTGAATTTTTGAGGGCCGACTCCCGCAGTGTGGTGAAAAAGACGAGACATTTCTCTTCAATAGTTAGATGGTCGACTCGAAAGAGACAATGTGGACGGTCAAATCAGCGCGATCTTTGTAGTATTCGAGCGCCCTAAACTCTAAACCTTAATTCTTAAACTTTTTAAGGTGTTCAATAATGTCGACAGAACGCATTCTCCCTACATGTTCATCAACGTCGACCTAATATTATCTTGGTACTTAGAGTCTCTTGCACTTTCTTCGGACAAGTTTGCCTTCCAACCGTTGGGCGCTTGTTTCTATTAGGAGTTTTGTTCCCTTCTCCCCGCCACTTCTTCTCTGATGGCCTCTAACATTTGGCGGCCAATCACACGGTCCTTCAACTCCTGATTTTGTTGTTAAACAAACTCTCGATGCACTCCACGTTCTCTGTGCATCTCGGGCGGATTTCTTCTCTGTGTTATGCTCGTCTTTTATTTGTTAGCATGATCCACGCACACCATGTCTTTTATTATGTTGAATTTAAATTTATCCCATGAATCACATCCAAGAAATAGAACGTATAAAAGATGATAGAGATATATAGAGAGAGAGTACAAAAATGAACAGTAAAATGAGAGAATTCTATAACATTTTATTCATGAAATGATCACCTATTTGAAGACAAAGAGGGAGTACAACATATAAAATTATATTTATGCCCTCTTAAGTAAGGATTGTATAGGTTATTTTAAGTATTTTACCCTTGTAGACTCGAGACCTTACAGTTCTCTGGCTCGGCCTGTTGGACTAACTAGGGCTTCGGCGAGCTTTGTCGATCAGCCGCACCCAAAGGTGTTGCCGGTAAGATAGATCTATAAAGCTGGACGCGGATCGGAGGAACTGACTTGATCGGTCAAACTTTCTTGATCGTTGGGTATAGTCTGATCGTGGACCCTCAATCTCCACCAAGGAGCTTTTGCCGATAGGGTAAATATAGGTCACCTGACAGAGGATAAATTATTATAATCTGACGCCTTCCCTCAGACAAGAGAATCTTGGTGAGATAGTTGAGACCTGTTGTATTCTCCTGATGATATTGGGGGAGACGACTGAATGATTCCGGTATGACAGACTTGGGGACCAGCTTCTCCCTCAGATTGGCTTCATTATGATGGTAGGTTTGAACGACTCTTCAACTGTCATCTAAATTAGTCGCTCGAGCCGTTAGTACATTGACCACTCTTGTAATATATGGTCTCGTATTCGCTATATTCGATCAAATATCTAGTTTGCCGATCATCTTTTGGTGGGTCCTCTTGAGTTTATGATTTTTTCTCTTGGAAGTTAGATCTCCTCGAGATTCATGATGGCATAATTTTTGTATACACAACTTAAAAAGAAACCTTTATGTCTAAAAAGGATCAAGATGGCCCTTCAGCAAAATGAAAACCCTATAATTAGCACCCACGATCAAGAAAAATAATATATACGGTGGACGATATAGATGCATGGAGATTTTTATGTATTTTATTTTAAGCAAATCTCTATTGTCTCCTGTACATAAGTTAAATATTTTGACGAGGGAAAAAAGAAAAATATTTTAACGAGGAGAAATCTCCACCGCACGAACACTGAAGGGGACTATCGGCCACTTAACCACAAGGACAGATTCTCAGTGTTATCTTACACAGATCACAATCAAAAGAGGACGCTCTAATCGTCCCCCCTTCACAGCAGATTGACAGCTCACAAAAAAATTGATAATAAATAAATAAATAAATAAATAAAGTACCAATCATCACCCCCAACCATCAGAGCAGATTCGAAGAGCTAGTCTCCATAGCTCATAAATGGAAAAAGGGAAGCAATTGCCCCTTCCCAATAAACCAAATGGGAAACGCCCCAGGGACAACATTCATGGAGATTTGAAGCAATCAAACTAGGGAGTAGAAAATCAAGTGAGTGAACTAATAAGAAAGGATACAAATCCATACATAAAGCTAATAAATAAAGAAGATCTCAAACCTGGATATCGGAAGCTCGCCGCTTCCAATGGTAGCCACTATCCCCGTCATCGCAAAGGGGAAACGATAGTCCACTCCCATGGCATCAAGCTCCTTCTTAATCAATCTCCCCGTCTCCACCTCCTCGTAAGCCAGCTCCGGGTGCTCGTGAATCCTTCGCCGCAACCCCTTCAACCACTCCACCACCTCCGGCCTTCTCGCCAGCTGCAGTATATCATCCTTCCACTCCTCATCCCCACCCATCGGCGACGAACTCCAGCTCCAGTTCGCCTCCCCCACGCGCAGCGGCGGCGTCGAGCCCGGGGAGGAAACCTCAAACACTTCTCCAAAGAGAAGATGGTCCACATCCAGTCCTCCAGCTCCCGTCCTCCACACGAGGAAAAGAAAAGGCAGCAGCGAAACCAAAACACTAGTGAGCTCGGGCGCCATAGGATCGGAGGCAACAAGAGTCCACAGATGGAAGGAAGGAGGAGGAGAAGAACAAGAACTAAGACAACGAAGAGGAAAAGGCTGCCGAATCAGGTAGGAGAGTGACATGCGGAGCTGGTGGATGGCAGAAGGCTCACGGATATCTAGGCTGCGGCATTTAACTCGTGGGATAATTGCCTGCGCCGGCTCCACCATTCGCCGTTGCGGAGATGGCGACATGCTCGACTGCATACAAAGCAAAAGTGGGGGCCCAGCCCACCATTTCCTATTTCCTGTTTTTTTAAATGTATATTTTAACTGTAATATAATTAAATTTTGGCTCATTTACTTTAAAGATATTGAAGAATCACAAAATGAATAGCACATCAGAGGTGATCAAAAAAATCGACTGAAGGGTAAAGAGATGATTTATATATTGGATCTTATGATATTCAAATATAACAGTCAAAAAATGAACTCCTCTTCAATAAATATTTCTCCTAATTATATAAGATTTAGCACAATAATAATATTATATTTTTGCCCCTATCTAGATGGGTCCACACTAGGTTGTATTTGACAATTTACAAACAACTACTCATTTTTTAGTCTTTTTTTTTTGCCTCGGAGGGCATTGCGGAGGTGGTTTGGCACAGTCGACATAATTGATGGTTGTTTTCTGAAAGCCCATATTCAACGAGAAGTTTTGGCTTTTCTGTGATAGATCTTCATATCGGGTTCTTGAATGAGTTGCACTATCCACATCAATTAGCCTATCTCCCGTCAACTTTTAACTCGATTAGCTTAGCTCAGTCGGCTTGATGGGCTCCACGACGTCCTTATCGTGTTTCTTTCTTTTAAACTATTTGATCATTGTGAGATTAGTATTGACACATTTCTTATGCATATAGTTTTTCTTCATGAAAACAATATTGAAATAAGAATGAGATAATTAAATAGAAAAATTAAATCATTCAATTTTATTTAATGATAAATTATTAGACTCGATTGATTTCATAACCTCTTATTCCTATAAATCAGATGATGAGACATCTTCTAATGCCTACTTCATTTTGTGACATTCCCTATTTAGATCGATTGTCTCTCATTCTTTGGTGTTATAATGGACAAGCTCATGAATTCTCATACTGATGTCTCTACAAAAAATCAGATTTGTTCTATATTTGCAAGCCAAAAGGATGGAATTTCTTGGAGGGCAAGAAGAGAGAAAGTTATAGTGAAGAGAAAGATGCTCCAGTTGCCTAATTAGCTAAGCTCATTTAATTTGATCATAAATGTATTGATGGAAATTGTTCAGCAGAATTGCTTGTTCTTTAATCCAACCATTCAGCCACTTGTTATACCGCAAGGCCTTCTGATCAATCAGAGTACTCAAATGGCATCTTTGTGTGCTTCTATCTCTTGAAACAATACCCATTGGTGAGCTTATGATGTCTAAATCGATTCGGTTGTAAGGCATGAGGCACTTTTATCTTATATTTATGGAGTCTGTTCTTTGGGTTTTGGTTGGAAATATTTTTTATTGGCAATGCAGATGCTCCGGTACAGCCAAGTCCAAATGAGGGTCTAACTAAACTACAGAGGAGCACAGATTGCATGTTAGGTGAGAGTGGTCATTTCTTTAGCGAGGATGGTAGGGTCAACAGTCTCAAAGACCCTCATTTCTCCTCTAAGATACGTGAAGAATCTGGTGAAGGGGTCCAAACATCCCACGATTCATTGGTTTGTTGTCTTGATGAGAGTGAAAGTTTAATTGTTTGGTTAGTCGTGATTTGATGAGATGTGAAGATACGTGATTTATTAACTCGACAGGAGAAGGTGGAGGAGAGCTGATAACTCTGTGCAACGAGCTTCCAAATTTGTGAGAGATGTCTCAAATTCTTCAAGCACTTCAGATTAGTTTAATCAATTTTGGTCAAGGGGATAATTCTTGTATAAGATATTTTTATAGTTGGGGCATGTAGGGCGTCAGACTCTCTCATGAATTACTTCACTACTTTGGAGTAATTTCTAAGTTCTTTATTATAATCCATTTATTATTGTGAAATGAAAATATTTATTTTCAATGTTTTCTGTGTCATTTTAATTTTATTGATGACCATTTATGAAAACAAATATTCATTTCTAGTTTTATTCTTGCATGACGGTGAACTTTCTTCATCCCTCTATATATATATAAAGGGAGTGCTTCCTTTACTTTATCTTATCTCCTGCTGTCTCGAACATCAGTGTTCTACTTCAGTTATAGCACAATAACACCTATGTATTCTCTGAAGTACATTATATTGCAGGATTTGGATGTTTAGTCGTGAATGAATAAAGAGGGCATCGACTCGCTGAAGGAAAACTGTGTATCTTATGCTTTCATTAGGCTTTGGATCTCCCGCAAAGTAGATCAGACGACCTTGATTTAAGGAGGTGATCTTTTGTTCTATATAAACCAATTCTGAGTTGGCCTCCACTTTTAATTCTGCATCGAGTTATTCTCCATATTGACCAACTACAGAGTTGTCCTAGTGCAGCTGAAGCCAAACTCCATCACATCCATTATGAATTTTTTCATATTTTTTCAACACCAATGAATCTCTTAGTTGATTGATCCATTTAATTACTTATTCTTATTTTGTGTTGAAATGAATGGGTTTATACAATATTTATTGGGTGATAAATTTCAATTATTGGGACTAAAAAATAAGGTTAAGGATTGGGAATAGAGGTTCTACCTGTCTTCATCCATCAGCAACTGGCTCATTTACAATTTTGTCCAATGAGGCTCCTCCAATGGTAAAGTCAAAGGAAACAATGAAAGTATTACTAGAAGCAAGTAAGGTTAAGGGGGCCAAACTATCAATTTAACAACACTTAGAGCCTGATATTGTCAACAAGGTGTTGCAATTTTAGAACATCAGAATGATGGTTGGGGATTGCTAGAAAACTTCTGATGCTCGTTAAGCTAAGAGGGAGAAAGCACTGGCTAATCAGACCATCAAGAAAGAGGCTCACTCAATCACTAACAGGGTAAAGAAAAATCCAACACCGAAGGTGCTTGAAAGACTAGAGGGCTCGATGGGTTTGACAGGTGCAGATCTTATATATTCACTTTCTCATTCTATCATTAATTTTTAGAGGATGGGATTTTGATTAAGAAGGCAAACTATCAAGAAAAAGCTAAAGGTCCATTTCCCTCTACAAGTTCTTGAGGCATTTGTCAGCCAGATGTCGAAGCAGTAGTGAGTAATTAAGAATCGAGCTTTCAGGAGAGGGAGGCTTCAATAAATGAAGTTCAAGAGGTAAAGCCAATGATCTCTCAACTAGAAACTTCAATATTGTTTCCTTTGTCAGGAAGAGATGAAGCCAATTGTCCTCTCCTCATCGAAATGGGTGAATCACTGGTAGGGTGATACACCAAAATAATATATTGTTTTAAGTATACATTTTATGCTTATTTTTAGTGATATTGCACTATAAAGAAGAGTGTTTTCATGTTTTTGTTGCAGGTATATCAATTTAAGGCATTTGGAGCAAACGTAGCAAAAAAGATGAAATTCGAAGCCGAAACAACAAATTTTGTGATTTTGGAGCTAGAAGCGTGATCCCGATTTTTTATATGTAAGAATTTATGAAGTTGGCACCACTACAGCGCCAAAAACTTGATCCTTGTATGAAAAGTAAATTGTGTAAAATATATATAATTATAGGCATATACGTATATATCCTTGGAGGAATGGTGGCTTGGTTTCTCCTTGGAGAAGGTTAAAGGGTGTGGGAAAGTGATACATTGAAAATATATGCATTTTTAGACCCATATTTTATATTATTTTTGGTGATATTGCACTTTGATAGAAGGTATTTTGATATTTTCTTGCAGGTTGTTGATTTTTAGGGCTTAAAGCAAAAATGATGAAATTTGGAGTCAAAATGACGTTTTTGAGGAAATACTCAGCGTCGGCAGCGCCAAGGTCAGCGCCGACGTCGCAGAACAACCGAAAGCTGGAGAAATTTTACTCAGCGTTGACGGTGTCAGACTAACGCCGAGGGCGCCAAAGGCTGTTCAGACCCCATTTCTAAAAGGTTCGACGTATTTGGACAATTGTTGAAGAGTTTTTGGAGGCATCTCTTCGAGAACCGATCTTGGGCTTTATTTGGGGCCAAATTTCATCAGAAAACTGGCTCCTCTACATTCATTTTTTGCTCCACCATGCCACTTTTTCATAATCCACCTTCATTCTACCACCATATTGAAGTCAATTAGTAATTTTGCTTTCATAGTTTAGAGTTTTTGTGGTGAGATTTAGTGTGAGACTTTCTGTAAGAGTGTTGGAGAAGGAGAAAAGTGAGAGAGCTCTTCTTCCTGCATTTCTAAGGAAAGGCTACAAAGGATTTGTTTTGAGAAAGAGTTTCAGATAAGTTTGTTTGTTTATTTAGTGTTGTATGAACTTTCTTTTATATATGAAATTTTTAT